CAGGGAAATCCAAATCAAAACCTCAATGAGATACCACCTCACACCAGACAGAATGGCTAAAATTAACAAGTCAGGAAATGACAGATGCTGGTGAGGATGCAGCGAAAAGTGAACCCTCCTACACTGTTGGTGGGAATGCAAGCTGGTGCAGCCACTCTGGAAAACAGTATGGAGGTTCTTCAAAACGCTGAAATTGCACTACTGGGTATTTACCCCAAAGATACAAATGTAGGGATCCGAAGGGGTACGTGCACCCTGATGTTTATAGCAGCAATGTCCACAATAACAAAACTGTGGAAAGAGCCAAGATGTCCATCGACAGATGAACAGATAAAGAAGATGTGGTATATATACACAACAGAATATTATGCAGCCATCAAAAAAAATGAAATCTTGCCATGTGCAACAACATGGATGGAACTAGAGGGTATTATGCCAAGTGAAAAAAGTCAATCAGAGAAAGACAAGTATCATATGATCTCACTGATATGTGGAATTTGAGAAGCAAAGCAGAGGATCATAGGGGAACAGAGGAAATAATGAAACAAGACGAAACCAGAGAGGGAGATAAACCATAAGAGACTCTTAATCTCAGGAAACAAACTGAGGGTTGCTGGAGTGGAGGGGGGTGGGAAGGATGAGGTGGCTGGATGATGGACACTGGGGAGGGTATGTGGTATGGTGAGTTGTGTAAGACTGATGAATCACAAACGTGTACCCCTGAAACAAATAATACATTATATGTTTAAAATAAATAAATAAATAAATAAATAATAAAAAATAATTTTAAGAAAGAATTTCAGGGGCATCTGCCTGGCTCAGACACTAGAGCATGCAACTCCTGATCTCAGGGTCTTGGGTTCAAGACCTACATTGGGTGCTGAGCGTACATAAATCAACCAACCAACCAACCAATCAAGAATTTCAGTAGAGGGCGCCTGGGTGGCTCAGTCGGTTAAGCGACTGCCTTCGGCTCAGGTCATGATCCTGGAGTCCCGGGATCGAGTACCGCATCAGGCTCCCTGCTTGGCAGGGAGTCTGCTTCTCCCTCTGACCCTCTTCCCTCTCGTGCTTTCTCTCTCTCATTCTCTCTCTCTCAAATAAATACATAAAAAAATCTTAATAAAAAAAAAAGAATTTCAGTAGAGAAATGGAAATCCTTTTTTAAAAGTGAAGGAAATCATAGCAAATTTGGAAAAAAAGATAAAAACTCTGTATGTGAAAAATACAGTATCAAAAATTAGTATCTCAACCCATGAGGTTAAACAGAAGATTCAATACACTACAGTGAGAATCAGTAAACCAGAAGAGAAGTGAGAAGACTTTATCCTGGTATAAAGCTCAGAGAGACAAAAGAATGGAAAACAGAGAAGAGAAATGGAAGAATGGAAAACAGAGAAAGGACAAAGTAAAAAAAAAAAAAAAAAAAAACTAATGTGTAAAGGGAAAAAAATAGGCAAGAATTATTTCCAGAGATAATGACAATTTTCCAAAACTGACAAAAGATATCAAACCACAGATCCAAACAGCCCAACAAACCCTAAGAGTATAAAATAAAAATAATTCTTTATTTCATCACCTAGCAAAACTATGTCTATCTATACCCAGGTGATATATGTTTATACCTAGGTGAAAACTGCTGAAAGACTAAAAGAAAATCTTAAAAGCAGCTAAACCCTTCACATCACCAAATGTTACCTTTAAAGAAGCTATAATTACTGATACCTAACATCTCAACAGTAGATCCTGAAATGATCTTGAATTAAAAAAAAAAAAATCCTGTGGGCACCTGGGTGTCCCAGTCAGTTAAGCATCTGCCTTTGGCCCAGGTCATGACCCCAGGGTCCTGGGACTGAGTCCTACATCGGGCTCTCCGCTCAGCAAAGGAATCTGCTTCTCCCTCTCCCTCTGCCCCTCCCGCCTGCTCATGTGTGTGCTCTCTCTCTCATATTTCTAAAATAAATAAATAGATAAATAAAAATCCAGTGAAATGTAAAACTGTGCAACTTCTAGAAAATAATAACAATAGAGAAAACCCAGAAGACCCTGGATATAGTGATGTCTTTTACAACAAAAATAATAAGATCTATGACAGAAATCAAGAAGCTGGACTTCATTAAAATTAAAAATTTCTGCTCTGTGAAACACAATGTCAAGAAAATGAGAAGTCAGAGACTGGGAGAAACTATCTGCAAAAGACACATCTAAAAAAAAATGCTATCTCAAATATACAAAGAACTCTTAGAACACCACAATAAGACAAGATTAAAAAACGGGCCAACGACCTTAACAGACATCTCACCAAAATAGATATAAAGGTGGCAAATAAGCATATGAAAAGATGCTACACATCATGTATCATCAAGAAAAGTAAATTAAAACAAGATACAACTACATACCTATTAGAAGGACCAAAGTCTGAACCACTGAGAAAACCGAATACTAGCAAGGATGTGGAGCAAAGGAATTCTCATTCACTGCTGGTAGAAATGCAAATGATAGAGCCACTTTGGCAGACAGTCTGGCAGTTACTTACAAAACTAAACATACTCTTACCATATAATCCAGCAATGGAATTCCCTGTTATCAATGGAGTTGG